GGGGGTCGGGATGCCGCTAGTGGAACCGTCGGTATCAAACTTGCTGTAAGTTCCTCGGCGACTTGGGGTGCGATCCTCGAAACGTTCATCGAAGTCTTCAAGATCGACGCGGCTTATGCTTTGAGAGTGGCCATGTAAGCTACCAGTAAGAGAACTTCTAGGTCTCACTCCCAAAGGTGTCCTTGCACTCGAGAAACTAGCACGAGACAATGGACGAGCAATCTCGGTACGGCTGGCGGGCCTTGGATAGCTCGTAACACTCGCCCGACTACTAGGTCGCGAGATGCTAACAGCAGAGCTATCAGGGTCGTAGCCACTGGTTCGATTGGGTAATGGCCCAAAGGATAATCTTGATATGCCTGAGGTACTGAGTCTAGATACGTGCCTGCTTGTAGTGGGTGTCTCATCTGTTACCGAGGAAGCAGTAGAACCGACGGTACGCTTCCTTGAACGCATCGTAACAGTGGATGGAACTTGGCTTACTCCCACAAGCGATGACCTAGGAGACGAGCGCGGAGGTGTGTTAAGAGGAGCAGGCAACTTGGACCGCGCCGATTGGACGCGAGCCTCGAGTCGTTGCATTTGGGCGGTAAGGGAACGGATATGGGTAAGAGACGTCGATGGTGGAACTCTGTGCGAGGCCGCGCGGTTCGTAGTGCGTGTCGGCGCGGGCGTGCGCGCGGTAGTAGCGGAGCGCATGCCTGGAGCCCGTAAGTTGGCGGAAATAGCGCCCTTCGGTTTCGGTGTAATGCTGCGATCCGCAGATGGAAGACGGGATTTCTTCTGCGCTGAAGGCCCGGGTGTCTTGGCCTTGGAAGAGGGCCTGGGTAGAGGTGCCGATGCATCAGACATGGGTGGCGACGGAGGCTCGTTAAGTATAGGCGCATCTTTACCCGTAGGAGGCAATATGATATCGTCGGGGGGCGTGGTGATGAGAGGAGAGCTTGCCATGGAACGAGGCGAGCCTTCGAAAGTAGGCGACTCGGGAATAGATATGTCCGTAGAGATAGTAGATAGGTGGCGACTCTCTGCCTTCTTGATCTTGTCCTGCATGATCTCGGCCTCGACCTTGAGGTCGGATAATTCTTCGCGCAATCTTTGGGCTTCGATTCGTAGAGATTCTCGTTCTTGCTCGCCTATCTTGATCTCTTCCTCCATCATGACGGTTCTTTCGATAGCGACATTGTACTTGGACTCCAGGTCTTCGAGAGACGACGTCGTGTTTCGCGCCTGGCGCTCGAAATCATCATTGGCTACCTCTATATCGCGTAGTTTCAACTGCAAGGTACGGTTCGTGTCACGGAGATTCGTAATCTCCTTCTCCAAAGTGTTCTGTGCCATATTGGCCTCGGCCTTTGCCTTCTTGCATTTTTCCTGGGAGCACATGGTTAGATTTACAGGCCTACGGGCAATATAGGAAGATGCGATCCAGCAAACATATACTTACTTTCCACTCATCAACCTCGAATTGCAGCGCCTCGGCCTTTTGCTGTAGTTCGCGCTGCCTCTTGTCTGCCGCATCTAAGTCCTTTTCGAGTTCAGCCTCGAGCTCATGGCTAGATTCACGAAACTCTGCTAGCTCGTCGCCTAATAATTCATATTGTCTCTTGTACCAGGCTAGGGACTCTTCGGGAGTAGCGGACTCGTTCGGAGGTGATGATGGCGGTTCGGCCATGTTTATTTGCTAGTTCGGTAGACTGCGGTATGCGCAAATCAATCCCGATTAGAAAAGGTGTTGTCGCATCGGCGGTGAATGGGGGTATCACGAATATTTAAAAGTCTTATGTCGTGATTTAACGCGATATATTATTATCCGACACTTCTTTAATCGTGCCGGCCTTTGAGAAGATTAAATGAACAATCGTAATGCAACAAAAGAGATATGAAATGTTGAAGAGTATCGTCGTCAGTTAGAAGCCCGGTTGAATTCGATAATGGTACTTGTGAATGGATACGACGGTTTCTACTATGAACTTGATTCTTTTAAAATGTTAGCAGAACTTACTCCTCTTTGTTCGCGGAGATCTTCTTTCTATGAGGTGCATAAGGAATATATGCGAAAGATATGCGAGCCCAAACTTACGTGTCTATTTTCCACCGTCGGGGGGGTACGTGTTTATGAGTCGTGTCGCAAAAGAGAAAGAGAAAAAAAAACAGGTCGAAATAGAATATCCGTCGGGGTGTATAGAAAAAAGGTCTTAGTAGGTATCGAAGTTGTTGTTGTCGCCGTCGCTGGTATATCGAGTTTGCCGATTCACTTACCGTTTGCCATTTGTCGTTGTTGTTGTTGTCCGTCGAAGAGGATGGACTCGGGTTGTTGACGATGAACCGAGAAATCAAGATGGGAATTGTTGGCGGTTTCTTCAACTGTCAACATCCGAACGTCTCCCCCCTTCAGACGGCATCGAGCTAATCCGAACGTGGCTTAGCGCGGGACAAGTTGTTGCTGCTACCATGACAACCTGGTCGGTCTCTTCCTTCCCCACCAATACCTGCAGAATTCGAGAATATACTTTACATTACGAGTATTCGCACAGCATATGAAATGTATACGTCTTGTTGTTGAAGTATTATGTAACTTTTACATCGTATGTTTACCTTACCTATCTTTTAATTGTTATCGGGTCGAAAGAGGGCGTTTTTGCAGAGTGATTCTATTATCTCACGATACAGTGGTGGATTATCAAATACGCGCATTAGGTACCTCCTACTACATACACTATTTACCTAACACATGGGGTAAATAGTGTATCAACTGAACAGATGAAGCGCCACTTATAACCTCCATGTGACCAGGTGCTGTGACTTATATACATTATAACTACTACCTAAAATACCTATCTTTTACTACATGCATCCATACTCCATACTTCTAATATAATATAAAGACAGAAGCAATGTAAAGTATTAAATCACTCCTATCTACCTTATAATTTAACCTAATCCGAACCAATCATCCCCTATTCAAACAGTTAATACAGTTGTAATACAGTTGATACCACGCCCACGGAAGGAAATCAATGCGAACGGGCGTTTAATTCTATGCTGCAGAAGCGTGAGACAATTTTATATTGACCAGAGCGGTGAGTCATGCTCTGTGCAGTGTTTCATCAGTACCCAACTTCGTGGGCCTTCATGGGGTAGAACAGTCTGGGAACAGTCTGGGGGGTTAAAGACGCTCGGCCACAGATCGGAACGCATTGCCAAGTTCTCAGGTCTGCCCGTATCAGGCCTGGCACAGATCCCAATCTCCATAATATCAGTCCCATAATGCACCAGTTTTATGGTTTTCCATATTAACATATCGTCATCCTAGAAGATAAAGATGAAATTCGCAAGATATATCTGGGTTAGCTATTTAGGGACCTAGGTAGTTAACCATGTTGTTGAGAAGGATTAAAATAGAAAAAGAAAAGAGGAACCAGAAAAGTAGGGAAACAAGAATGGCCCACTCTCGTACGTATACATAACCACAAAAAGAATAAAGGGGTCATCTTCCTTAAGCCTCCTTAGCATTCGTCATATAACTACCTGTTACACAACTTCGTCGCTCATCTGCGGCTCCACTCCAGCAAGATCTCACAGGCGCTATTCCGGAATCCGTACTAGAACGAAGTATCCATCATACCAACCATTCAATAGAAATTTCCGGTTGAAGATAAATAAACCCGTAAAGGCGGATATGTTATTTCACTCAATTCAATCCATCATTAGACGATACCGAAAGCTAATCTCCGCCTTTTACGCCGATCTTAAAAGGTTAAAAGGCGGATTGGTTGTTTAAGTTATTTTTTAGTTATGTACCTAAACTACAATAACAATTTCTACAGCTTAACTACCCGAGACTAGATCTCACCAACTATTATATATACTCGACTCTTCCCCCAAGACATTTTTCTAGAATCCGCCTAGCAGCTTTGGGCAAAGTCTGGGGAAATGCATCTAGGCATGTAGGGCTGATGGGGTTCCCCAGATATAATAAGTCAATTATATGTCAAGTCCCGTACTTGTATTTCTTATATCCGTTCGTTAAATACCGAGACAAGATCTAGTTAAAACATTGTGACCATGGATACAGATTAACCTAAAGAATATTCGGTACTTCATTCACTATCAATCTAAAGGCTGTGCATGAGATCCCTCGCTTCGTTTATTTTCGGGAACTTCTTATTAAGGAGATATTTGCTGTTAGAGGATTTATCAAGATTAAGTAGTAGGTATTAGAAGATCTTGGAAAAGACGTCATGTGGTAAGTGTAGTTCTCTCATGTATCTGCCGCAATTTCCCGTCGTCCTAAAGTTGGGAGTGTCAATACATATTCATATATGGTCACAGACCAGCATCTGCCCTGGCGCCTGCATCTTGATACTTGAGCAGCCATCCATTTAAGTATCCTCTCTGATAAGAAATCCAAAACGTGTACCTAATAACCACAGTTAATAACCACAGTTATTAACTACAGCCTCAGAAATCTTTGTATGCGTAGATTGTGTTTTAATGTCCCAATCAGCCGATGCTATCCTTTCGACCTATTTCAAGCCGCTCGTCACGACGATGCCAGGGGCTAAGTATATAGGTATACTGGGATGACATGAAGGATTAATTGTGGCGTTATTTCAGAATAGGATTTAGTAACATTCGTTTCTGAGTTTATTTCGACATTCTTGTCCCGTAGTCCCGCTAATATGTACAGCTCTTTGAACGATCATAGGATATATCTAATATAAGGCTCCTGAAACATGCTATCTATGCTAGGTAAAGGATTATCAATGTAATTTTGCGCAATGCTTTAGCTGATGGTCCAGATTATTATAGCCAACGAATAACGTGGCCGCATCCGTGCCCTAGTAGACTCTTAATGTTGGGGGCCAAAATTAGTGTCATATATTACTATCGTCGCTAATCCAGTTGGTGATTCTATCACGTTACGTTCTTGGTTTCTGCTTTTGCAAAATATAAGTTGATGTTCGAGAAAATTGCTTTAATACAGCAATCTTGGGATGGCTATAATTTGCCTTAAGTGCCGTGGAATTGGCCACAAAATGTTAGATTGTCCGACTCTGAAAGGACATGACAACAATAGCGACCCTAAAATGGAGCCAGATCACCTTGCTACTGAGCCGCTTGCGGGAGGACTTGCTAGTCCAGTTAGTCAACTTTGCAAAAGGTGCAAGGGATTTCGAATTATAGACTGGCTTACAAACGAAGATATTAGGGATGAAGTAGTTATTGGTAGAGACGGAGCAAATTCGCAGGGATGGGAGAATAAGAATCACAACTCCGGCCGCAGGTTAGGCCTAGGTCCACTCCATTCGATTTTCTTAGATGCGTCATGTTCGCTCTGCCGAATGATCTCTCGAGTCTTCCCTCTAATCCCCGAGGATGAAGAGGACTGGGGCGCTGAGTATTTCATACGGCCCATACGGAGTTACAACCGACTTGGCGAGAGTATTGCACCGCCTGAGGATTCCTCGAAAGAACCAGATGATAAATACGCAGTTTATGCCGTTGTTGATAGTCGAGAGGACGCGATGTCCACTCTCAGTCGGCATTTTGGAGAACCTAGAGATCAGGCGGTATATGGCTTTGAGTTGGCATTCGCCCTTTCTCACAAGACACCCGCCCCCTCTAGACCGGGATTCTCGGCTCGCGAGAGAGGAGTGACATGGCAACCGGATATTGTGAAATCCTGGATGAGCCGATGTGAACAAAAACACCCGCGATGTCGGGTGGAATGGTCAGATCAACTTCTTATATGCAAGATGATCGATGTATCATCTCGTCAAATTGTTAGCTGCCCTCCACATTGCCGGTACATTGCCTTGAGTTACGTTTGGGGTGGCGTGAGCCCCAAAGATGGAGCATTAGAGAGCAGAGAACTCCCTCAGACGATTGAAGACGCTATAACGGTCACCAAAGCTCTCGGGATAGGGTATCTTTGGGTAAGCCAATCCAGAAGTAAGGGATGAAATATTGTACGTAACTGATGAAATATCCAAGGTGGATGCGCTATGCATCGACCAGACTCCTAGCCCGGAAAAGGCCCAGCAGTTGAGCATGATGGATATTATTTATAGTTGTTCTTGGGCGACTATAGTTGCCCTTGATGGCAATGATGCTAACGCAGGGCTTCGCGGGGTGAGTGCGAAAAGTCCCAGAGAACCTCAAGCTAGCGAGAGCATCGACGGTAGCAAGGTTCTTAGTCTATTTCCAGCTCTACCACAGGAGCTAACTGGGACAACATATTTCACACGGGCTTGGACCCTCCAAGAGTATTTGCTGGGTAGTCGCCGTATCCTCTTCGGCAAGCATCAGATCCATTTTCTCTGCAATACTGGAAATTATTGCGAGTCGATCGATGACACAGTTGATCCAGGAGGACTTCTAGATATAGGTGCAAAGCAAGCCAACTTAATTCTGGTCAGTACACATAAACATTGCGCAGGTCTATAATAGTAACTCATTCTTTTATAGACCGACTGCACGGAACACAGCGAGGATTTAGAGTCTCAATGCGACTTTGCGGACTTTACTTTTCGCAAGCTGGCTGGATTGTATACGAACCGTACGATGACAAATGATTCAGACTCCCTAAATGCATTCAGAGGCATGTTGTCTTCTCTGCAAAAGACTTTTCTGCCACAGGGATTTATCTGGGGTTTACCTCTGAAAGAGTTCCCGCAGTCCATGCGGTGGTATCATCCTCGAGCTGTTAAGCCCCGCCGTCGCCCAGATTTCCCATCCTGGTCATATGTTGGATGGGAAGGCACGATAGCTTATACCGATAGGCTGGATTTTGCAACTGGGCGTACCGGTGGACGATTTGACGAAGTGGCCGATCAGATCTTACGTTATCTTGGATTCGAGGACACGATTTTGACTGTCGATGGCGTGCTTATACGACTAGAGGTGCGGAACGAGCCGTTCAACAACGCTTATATCCCCGGAACAGACTTTCTCCTCGGAATCTTGCAAGAAGGCAACTTTCTCCATAAAAATACCTTACCTCAAGGGACTTTCGACTTTTTGGTGGTTGAGAGATTGTCCTTTCGATACGCACCCGACAGCAACGTCCGCCACGTAGTGTATATGGTAATGTTAGAAGGAGAATTAGGGTCCTACAGCCGGCGTGCGATGGTACGCTTGTTTGTTGAACCTGGACTAGACAAGCAGCAGGACTACTCGGCATTGTTTGGAAGAAGCCGAGTGGTTCATCTCCTGTAAAGTATGTACAATATATCTGAGACTAGATAGGCTATTAGGTACAACCAATGAATTGAAGTTATTAAGGATAAAGATATACCGAGAACAATTAATTATTTAATATCCACCTATGATATCCATCAAGTCAAATTTACATAGTAATGAGGTAGGTAGGTAGGTAGGTAGGTAGGTATCCGGGATGACGGTCGACCTAGAGCTCCGGTCCTAACTTCGGTAATATTATCCGGGCGTCTAACTAGGTGGCGGTAGTATGCTCGTCCCGACCCCGAAAGTATCACTACCTAAGATTTGTGGTAGGTAAATTCCGATGCCCAACGGATATTGGGTAACCTTACGTTCAGGCTGGGATCGAGCCCAATATACTTTGGAACACCATTTAGTATGTTAATAGACCTATGACCGTTTCGTAAGACAAGACCAGATGAGACAACCATCTACATGTCTCAACTCGAATTGAACCAAATATAGTCAAATGTTGAAGTCAGATGTATGGCTTAAAGCACAAAATCACTAGCTCAAATCAAATCTTCCGCCTAGCTTTGTACGCCACAGCCATTTCAGGGTCCCCTGTCGTGAAACCATGAGGGTTATCGTATCGATCTGTAATCTATCTTACCCACGAGAACGTAATAGGGGAGGCTTAAAATCGTGTTAGCTGAGAAAGATTCGTCTATCAACCCATTAGTCTATCGGCAGCACGACTTTCCGAGCGATAGTTTAAAAGGTTTCCTCATCTGTAAGATGGAAAACTCTACTCAGCTATGTCGTTACGTAGTATCTACCTAACCTATTTGCTTATTTGCAGGTACCTTAAAAGCATCAGCCCTATCTACGATCGACCCTGCCATCGACCTTACCGGCAGACTATGCAAGATCTACACAAAATGTAGATCGATCGACTATCGACAGCCTCAACAAAAAAAACCGCCCGGGATTTGGTTCATTGGTTCAGAATTTCTCGGGATCTGATCAGCCTCGGAAATAAATTGCGCTAATGCACATCCGGCCGCAAAAAATACAGTTAATGAAGAAGAGCCGTTCGAGATCGCCGCGCCTCTTTGCTGCATGGAAGTATAAGTCTGTCCATGTAAGAAGCTTTTGGTGTGTGCGGTATGTTTCGGGTAGTATGCAGCGAAAATCCGCCTGTGTGTGGTTACCATCGTAAGTCGAGTTGTTCCGATTTGGCGACCTCGAATATCTTTAGATGACTTTGTTAAGACATAAGGCTAGAGGGCGTTGTGGAACGATTGATTTTAAGTGTCCATATACCAGCCACAACGGAACGCCCTCCGTCAGGGAGACGACGAATTATCGTTCTGGACGATGGCCATGCGAGCGCCTAACAGTGTTCTGGAATCCCATAAACTGCCATGGGAAAGTTTAGAAAATGCATAATTCATAAATATCTAAGCGTGAATAAATAACTTCGCGTGCCGGGCGCGTGTCTATCCTCATTAATGTCAACAGCGTAGATTTACCCCTGTGTTAGTGAGCCCCGTGTTAGCGAAATGAGGCTCTACAATAGGTAATAGCAGCGTCATTTACCAAGGCGGCTGTTGGCCCTGTTAGGACTTGCGGATTTTATTCTCCATCCCGTAACCTTCTATTTCTACGTAATTTTTATCCCCATTAGCTAGCTGATAATCTGATTTGTGCTGGCGCATCAAAAGTGACGTAGCCAAATACTCACGATCTTAATGTAAGGACTCGCGTCTTGGACGTTCAAGGGCAAATCTTTAGGTTAAATTAGATGTTATTTTTACACTATGACGATCTGGCGAGCCTAGGTGAGGCTTGGACTAGGGGAGCGTAAATGATAGCCCCGGACTACTTGACGTATTCCGCGCCCCGGAAATTCCCAGGAGTGTGGTAACCCTTGCAAAGAACCCTGTAGATATGCACAATATTTTTACCCTTGACCCTTGTCGACATGTTTGTTGTACTTCCCAAGATCTAACGACAAGTGAAAACCTCCGATTCAGATCTGTCCGAGATCTTTAAAGATCGTGTGCAATGGAAGACCATTATAGACCGTTGATTTGCCGTGCGTTCGTCTCCAGTAAAGTATTCCTTATTTGATTACTGATCATATTTCACTAGTCTTACACCATCTCATTCTACAGAAACTAGTTACTTTGCCCCGTTTTACAGGCCTCAGCCTTGGCCTAAGCCTGAACATAGCATATCCCTTAATATTCGATCTCGTACGTTGTGATTATAGCATCATACCGTAGTTATCGACGCATTTCCTAGGCTAATATCTCCGCGGAGGAATCGAGCATATCAAAATAGTTACTCTACACCAAAGAAGGAACAAGGCGTCACGTCTCTCCTTGTCAGGCGAATATGAGGCTCCCTGTCCAAGAAAGGGACACTCTGCTCATGGTGGGGACAACACGAAATGACTATTTCCTTGGGAGTGAGGTTCGGGCTTGATACCTTACATCAAACATAGGTAGATACCTGTGCTACTATTTGAGTCGTGTTTCTAGAGCCTCACCCCCTGTGGTGATATATCAAAGAAACACATAAGTCGTTGACACGTAACAAATGACATAGGCGCAGACCCTGTTCCAGCGGAAAGGTCCGCAAGTCACATAGAGCCCCATTGGAATAATTTATCCTTGCTAAGACTCTAGGGATTATGTCACAGTAAACGAAAGCATTGGTAAGGTTTCGATGCTTCTGAGACTTTGCTGGTGCCACTCAAGCACTCGAGGTTTAAAAGCTCGAGCAAGATTCCGTAAAGATGGTGGGATGTTGTCTTTTAAGCGTCAACGGCATACGGGTTTCGCTGCAGCCGAACGAGTTAGGAAAGCACCAAGATCCTCTCTACACGAAGTAAATCTGCCGCAGCCATGGTAAAGGTTGAAGTCCAACCACCGACGCAAGTCCAGGCGGGAGCAGTCATGTACCCACCGCTCGTCGTAAGCTACAAGAGCGATGATGCCTACGACTTTATACAGGTTGCCCTCATCGACTCCTACGGACGCGTCCTCGAGGACCAACTATACGGCACACTAACAACATCCGGCAAGAGTATGCATGACAGATCCGCTTCTCGAAGCAGCCGAGTTAAGGAATACTCTGTCTTCCCCGATCTCGCCGTGAGCTATGCCGGCGTTTACGCTCTTCAAGTGAGTGCCATCCGGATGGATTATGCATCACCTGATGGTGCGGCGGCAATCATCGCCGCGTCGACAACGACAACACAAATTATTGCCTACGATCAGAGCGTCGCTACGGAGATTCCATGTAAGCCTACAAATTATATCAGTGTTACATCGAATACTAACATTACATTGACAGCCCCTGATGAGCAGTCTCTTCTACGAAAACTACGACGAGATGGTGGATTTGGCGTTCCTAGGGCGCCCAGATAAATCAACACCAAATCTGTTGTACATCTATGGAGGCACGCTTGGATTTAAGAAATTGTGATAAATTGGAACCTAACTTGTAGAAGTGAAAAGATAGAGGTGGTATAGAGCAGGAGTGGGTGTACAAGATGTTTAGAGCTTTATTAGAAGTCAATCTTTATAACTAGACGGGTTGATTCTTTAAAGAACACTCGCACAACATAAGAAATCAGTTTGACTATTCCTATCATTTCTACCAACTAATTCTACTTAACTTGACAGTCATGATTCGGCATACGGTGGATTGAATAGTTCGTTAAATTAATACTAGACTTGACTCTCTTCAAGAATTCGGTGTTATGTCATGTGTCATATTTAGTTGAAGTATGATTTCCTTGATGCTTCTTAGATAACATCAACCTAACAATCCAGCCAAATTACCCGTACTACTTGCTGAACACTATAGATAATTTTACTATAGGTTTATTTTCAAAACCTATAATTGTAAATGTCCTACTTTACGAAGCAGGTTCACAATGAATTGATCCCACTCACTCGCATATACCATAACCATCACTAAACAAACTCACTACGCAAAGCACGTATTATACAGTGAAATCTTCATGTTCAAGCCTAGAAATGGCCAATTTCATATGAGATGAAATGAATTTTAAGAATTATGATTCATCCTTGAAGAGCTGCCGCAGAGTGACAAATGTGAGTAATGGAGTAAAATAGGGGGTGGGCCGGATAAATTTGGCCTCGCTCTGACTTTCCTCCTAACATATTTCTAATCCATTTCCCCTTCTAATATCGACCCTAGATAACTGCCTCACGCTAGCTACCAGATATTCACTTGGCAAGTAAGGAGATCGTATGTGGATATCGCTGCATATACGAGTTACCTACCTTGGGCTCGTAGTGTCATATTAACGTCAAGTCCATACTATGTATGTCTATTATAACAATGCTGTACGACGCCGGGAATTTCTCATTCCGTGTCTTTGGTGGCGGCCACTAGCCAATCAGCACTGATATTCAAGGCGTGCAATATGGGGAAATAATGAAGATGTTAACTCTATTAGACACGTCATCCCCATATCAATAATCAGGGCCTAGATCGTCATCGTCGAAGCTTGGGCATAGACATTGGCGTACGTTGTATATTCTAGAAATATTCTCCCGAGGAGCTAATTCATTAGCGGCTATCACGTTATGTGATACTACAGCTCATTGAAAAGCAATATAGGAAAGATCAGGCGTGGATATGGCTGCAGCCGGCGGCGCCTCAAGCCAAACACATGTCAAACTAATATAATACTGGAAATTGATCCGAACCCTGGCTTATTATCATGCTCGTACCCTATTATGCTCGGATACGTTGGGTATTATAGAATAAGAGTAGCTCAACTTACTGTACACTTTTATATAGGTAATTATGTGTTTAGGTACTCATTCCAGTAGATATTGATCTGCAATATTACCGAGGATTGGAGAGTTTGGATTTGATACGGGAGGTCGAGTCAACCGCATCTTAGTATCGAGATATGTACAACACCCCCTCTTGATGCCTGAATATACACTTCTCATGTCCATCTATGAGTATGTCCGATATTAAAGGCTTCCGAGACCCTGTGGCTTGCCTCCACCACGTATAAAGCCTATGATAGGTGAACTGTAATTCTCGCGGCCCAACTGCTGTTCATACATCGGAGTTAAGGGACTTTGGTGCGTAGCTGGACGCCATGCCAGCCTTTCATCTGATCACCTAGCACAGCATTAACCATTCTTTGCTGCTTTAGCATATTCACGCCTCGAAACTTTTCCGACGCAATCTCAATCCCGTACATGGACCCGCAACCACCTGATATGTCTTGAACCATAAGCTCCGTCGGTGCAAACTCGGCTGTTAGTTTGTCCCATATTGCCGACTCGGCATCGTCGAGGTAATCTGGCTTTTCGGGGAGACGTGACTCGGTTGGCGGGGTGCTAGCTGAGCTTGCTGCTGCAGAATCGGGAGAGGAGGAATAGTGTCGAATACTAAAATGGTTGTTTATGGCTGGCTGAACTAATGTTCGTATTTGGGTTTGTATCGAAGATATATGTGTCGGCTGGGCGTAACGCGACAATGTGGCAGAGCTTCGTTTAGGAGCTATCGCAACTAGGCGACGGCAACGGTGACACAGCATGACGAGGATTAAATCGAACAAGCCCCTTATGTTTATGAAATGCAGAGACTACCACCAGAGGGAAGTTTATATAGTAAGGAATCAGGTTTGCCGTATCTGTTATACAGTATTATGTGAAGGCGGGAGTTGAGTGAGTGAGATGTTGAGGAATTACGGGAATTAGGAATTACAAATTACGTTCAAAATCGCAAAGGTCGACATATTAAAAATCCAAATGCACGATAACAGTCTATCGATAGGTACGTACCTACGTAATTCTACGTAATTGTCATCCCGCGGCCATTGATTGGCTAGACGTCTTAAGTGAACATTCGATCTAAAGCAATTAAACATACGGAAAACATACGGAATTAAGACTAGAATATTCCATTGAGAAGTATATGTACTAAGCCAGGTGATAGAGTCGCATAAACTTAACTTTTCATAGCTGGGACATCATCTTTCCTCTTTCCTGTTTCCCCTTCTCAACCTTTTTTCCTACTAATATTTTTACCAACTATAACTGTTTGAAGTATCAGAAAATCAGACGATATACCGTCCAAAAATACAGCAACAATTAGCTTATCATCTATTCCAACCCGAATCCACATACATCTCAAGTAAATTCCAAGGAGTCAGAACCGTATTCTATCTTTATCAATTCGCTAAGATATAGCCCTATTTGTGACAATGGATACGATGCTCGCTATGTCTTTTCTTCTCTAATATACAAATATCACATCTTCAAATAAACCGGATGGAAAAGTCTACAGACTCATCAATATCATAATCGGCCGGATCGGCGGCGTCACCAAAGATATGCAGTGCTTCGAAACGCAGTTTGTATGCGCCTGCCGATGCCCATGTGCCATCCGCAAGCCTTCCGTCCCAATTCAAAGCGAAAGGGTCACGAGAAGCGTAGCGGAGCGGTGAACCGAAAATGTGGCTGCCGGCATCCACACCCGCATAAGCAGTAGCATTCACCGGAACAACTTTGACGTTGATCTGGGGTGATCCAAATGCCAGCAGCGCTACGGCTACGGGATATGTGGCGTTGACAGCGGTGCTGTTGGACTTCGGCAGCGCGAATGAAGCGTGAGCTGTGACGGGGTCCAGATTCTCGTTTGTCGAGATAGAGAGGTAGCCGACATCCAGGACTCTCGTACTGTGTAAGCTGCCAACGGCTCCGTTGTATGGCAGAGACAGGCTATCGCCATTAGTGCCGTTCAGGGTAATATAGCCAGAATAGACAGGCAAGCGGGTAGCATTAAGCGCAGGTGGAGTAACCGTAACAGAAACGACAACTTCTTCCCCGCCTGGAACGGTCACTTTAGACTCGCTAAGTGCGATAGTGGCATATTCGTCTGTTAACTCCAGACCTGGGAAAGGATCCGGGTATATGGAGTCGGAGAAGGTGTATCCCGTCGCAGCGCCTACGCTACCCAATTCGTAAGTGACTTCCTCAGAACCCAAGTTCTTAATGGTGAAGTTCAGCGTGTCGACGAAGTTGTCTGTGTCATTGAAGGCAAGACTGGACTTGCTCAGCAAAGTGGTCGCATAAGCAGCATCGTAGGCTTGAACAATGCCAGCACCGAGCTGCACAACAGGCGCGAGCGACGGATAAGTTTCGGTTCCGTCATTCAAGAACTGCGGGTTCGACGTCGCCGATAATATGTTTTCGAGGGTAGCGGGGTCGAGAGTACCGCGGACGTTCGAGACGAGAGCATAAATGGCGGCAACCAAAGGGCACGCCATCGAAGTGCCGGACAAGACGGCGTAAGTACCCAAAGGAATCGGCCATGTCGATAAAATATTACCGCCAGGAGAAGCGAGCTGTGGCTTGATATCCAGCTCGAAAGTTGGGTTCCAGGTCGTATAAGAGCTTGCGAATCCACCAGTGATAGTGTTATTCTGGTAAGTCAAACTATTGACTGTTAGATAATACACGCTGAAGTTCGTTGTCAAATTCTTACCTAACAGGTGCGGTAGAGGGATCAAGCATGTTAAGAAGAACCTCGGATCCGTTTTTTAGTGAAGTAACCCACGATTCACCTTGATCAGCTGTCACCTGATTTAAAGGTTAGCTACGATGCTAGATATTAAGAGGAACCTAGAGCTCGTTCGCTTACCATGCCAGTTCCCTGGATGCTGGTAACCTCAGAAGTAGCAGGACCTACTGCCCCAACTCGGACATTGTTGTAAAATAGAACGTATTTCGCTCCGAACTGTGCCGCGTTGGTTGCCTTCTGGACAAAGGTACAAGTGCCGCGACGGATCAGTACAATGTAACCTGATAAGTCAGGAGTATCTTCTGGTAATGCCGCGCAGCCCTGATCAGCCTCTGTGATATCGAAGGAGGGAGTCCACAGCGGAAGACTGACGTCGGCCCATTCTCCTGGTTCTCCGAGAGCGTAGCCAAATTGCTCTTGCTCGCCACCATCGACAGTAAAGTTGGAGTCGGTGAGAAGTAAAGGTGTGACCTCGTTGTCGATGGAAGCGATCGACGTAACTTTCTTGCCGTTAGAAGCCGTGCTGGCATAAAACAGACCAACCGCTCCATCATTGCCGGCCGACACTGTGCAAGGAACACCGGCTTCGACGATTCGAGATACGGCGACAGACCAAGGATCTTCGCTCCAACCGGAGGAACCACCGATTGACGCTGTGATGATGTTGGATCCGGCCTCAAACGCTTTCATGTAGGCATCGATCAAGACGTCATTGCCAGCACCACCAGTGCAGCCGAAAACCCTGAACATGCCAAGGGTGACATCGGGGGCAGCGCCAGTGAACCCCAGCTCGTTAGCCTGGGCCGCGATAATTCCCGAGACGTGCGTGCCGTGGCCACCGCATCCATCATACGGGTCGTCGTCAGGGACTGGTGTATTGTCGCCATTGTAGTCATCGCCAACGATGTCAGTACCAAAAGTGAATAAACAGTCGGGACCACCAAAGCAGCCACCCAATGCGGGGTGGGTATAATCAACCTAAGGATGGTAAGCCGCTGATATGTATCATTTGGATATGATGACCTACGCCCGAATCAATTATACCAATCTTGACTCCCTTTCCGGTGATCCCCTTTGCCCGAAGCTTATCCACCTGGGTCATCACGTGTGGTGTGAAGGTGTCATTTCCAAGCTGCCTCTTGACGTTCTTCATATAGTCTTCCCCGCCGCTTCGTCCCGTCCAGACGATTTCATCTTTGGGTAACGAGTATACCCTATTTGGCCATACTTGCTTAACGCTAGGAAGCAAGTCAAGCTTTCCTGCTTCTTCCTCGGCCGTTCTCAAATCGTGGAATTGGATAGATACGCCTCTGAATAACTTATAATCCAGATTCATGCGCGTCTTCGCCTTTGAGCCAATGTGGTTAAAGAATTCCGCCGAGTCCTAACCCCAAGTCGTAATCGGTTAGTATGGCTCACACATCTTTCACTACGCGTTCAGGCTAAAGTACCTGGGAATCTTCAAACTCCACAATGTAAGACCCAGGAAGATGTCTTGTCTCTCCCGCTATTCTGGCCTCGGTTGAGAAGATGCTCAGCACGCTCGTGAGGAGCGGCAGCAAATAAGAGCCCCGAACCATCTTGGACAAGCAGAGCGGCAACGAGGTGAAGCCGGCAAACGAGTGTTTAGAAACGAAAGACTGAAGGAGGGTACGGGGGCACCAAACCACTCGATGAAGAAGGGTTAAGAAGAGGTAAGGACCTAAACCTCCAAGCAAAGGTGGGAGTGCCTATGAGTATTTGTAGCTGTTTGGCAAGCCTTCTGGGGGAACAGCGAGGGACCATGGCCTGCTAAATGGCGGATCAACGCATGCAAGATTGGACGTGCCATCGCGCCGCGCACTCGCGTTGCATTATAAAAGTGAGGGTTGATAAAGCCTTCAACATGTCTGGCCAATTTACTCGCTCGCCATTGTCAACCCAGCTTCCGTAGTAGTATTAGAGACGCAGGGCGGACAGGGAAGGCAGGTGGATAGCCACAGATGTTCCTTGACCTGGAGAAGCTTGGCAGGGGGGTTTGCCGATTGTGGGCTAGATTCCGGGAACGAATTAACCTAGGCAATGCTTTATCGGTTGGTGGAAATATCCATGTTCCTCGTGGTAATCTGTGTTTTCCCGTAACAAAGAGGCGAGACGGAGATATCAGATGCAAGTGAATTCTGCTGATAAACTTGGCGAATAGGTACACGACGTTCTAGTGAGTTAGTTAGGGATATTTACAATATCGATCAAATATATTCTTCACTCTTATGACCATGAGTCTATTGCCTTGCCCTATTCATCCTACGTTTTTATGAGGTAGAGCAAGATAAGCAGTTAAGGCAAGGGGGGTCCGGGGTCTAATCGCATCATTTCTTGGAAAACAATCGCGAGGAGCCCATTTGGGGTAGATATCTCGGGACTTGGCCAGTGGTACGGTGACGTAGCTAAAGAAGATAAGACGAGAAGAAGCAACAAATCCAACAGGATGTCACAAGTTACACACACGAGTCGCTGCTTATGTAGTGGTTTGTGGTTTGTTAAATGCGCGCAATGCGGGGAGAAGAACTGGTATAGTGACATTGAGAAAATATATGTTGTAGAAATGATGCTTGGAGTACTTGGGGTTCTTGTAGAAAAGTCTGGGCATCGGCAATGCGTCCCGATTAACAACCCGTATTAATGGTAGGAGAGGTTTAGAAACTAACATCCTACCAGGTCAAAATGCGAATGCTACCCCGTCGATGTCGTGCTTTATGCTAATGACTACTTAATTTCACCCACGAGGCAAACACGATACCGACGTGATACTACCTATCACACAACTGCATATATTCACCATACACCATATTATACTCGGTTTGAGCGACGAGGTCTAGAATCCCCGGGCCACAACATCTCCCATGCGGCTCTCACAAAGAAATAGGCAACGTGGGAGACCTTGTATAATAGGTACCTACCAACAACGCACGCGATCAAGTCTTCTCCAGTCCAGTAACAATATGGAGACCTCCTTATTTGGGAGACGCTACGAAGTACCAGCGCACCGGTAAAATCCGCTAACTACACTATCATCGGCAGGCAGTGTGGTTTAGATGCTGGCTATACCTTTTTCGTCGACTTATACTACCTGTTCTCGGTAAGGCGTGTGAATCCAGAGGTCTCGGCGCATCCTACGAATTTACTA